CACCGCTTCATGCTTGCCGTTGGAGCGAATTCGCGTCGGTCCGCGTCTCTGCATTGACTTTTCATGTAATCGCGCCGCCCCCAAATATTGCATCGCGTCCGGTGTGAATGCAGCATAACTCTTATTATAATGACAAGTTCGCAGTTTCCTTAAACTTCTTACTGACTCAACTTAGAAAATTAAACATCACCCACATGTATATAACAAGGAGATCAAGGCTTGAAGTTACTGCAAATACCCTGCATTTTTTTTTTTTAAGTAGAACAAATAAATATACAGTACAAAACAGATATAATAATAATAATAGATTAATTTTGTTAGCGCTTTTACAGGTGCTCAAAGACGCTTTACATAGATAGTGAAAAGAAAAGAACAACAAATAAATATAGTTAAAGTCAAATTTAAAATCAAGCAATACAAAAACAGTCACACATTAAAAGCCAGATTGAAGAGGTGAGTTTTTGTAAGTCTTTTGAAGGTGGTGAGGTCAGTGCACCCTCTGATGGGTTGTGGGAGTGAGTTCCAGAGGGAGGGGCAGCAACGGAGAAGGCTCTGTCCCCCCAGGTCCGGTGCTTGATGCGGGTGGGGATGGATAGGAGGTTGGCTTCTGATGAGCGGAGGCAGCGGGAAGGGGTGTGGTGGTGCAGCAGGTCTGTGAGTTAGGGGGGGGGGCTGGTTGTTGAGGGCTTTGTGAGTAATGAGGAGGACTTTGAAGTCGATTCTTTGACGGACGGGGAGCCAGTGGAGGTTCTGGAGGACGGGAGTGATGTGGTCTCGGAGCGGGTGTGCGTGAGGAGGCGGGCAGCAGAGTTCTGGATATGTTGGAGTTTATTGAGGAGGTTGGATGGTATGCCGTAGGATGCTATTGCAGTAGTCGAGTCGTGATGTGATAAATGCATGAATCAGGGTTTCAGCAGCAGAGGAGGTTTTTGAGGTGGAAAAATGCAGTCCTCGTGATGTGATTGAATTTTGAGCTGACTGTCGGGGAGGGAGGGGATATAATGTTGCTGTCAAGGGTGACGTTGACATTCTGGATGGTTTTGGTACGGGATGGGGGGGCCGATGATGATGTCGGATTTGACACTGTTCAGTTGGAGATAGTTTGTTTGCATCCATGTTTTTATTTCTGAGAGACAGTTGGTGAGAGTGGAGTGTGTTGTGGGGGTGATGGTGTTTGTTGAGATATAAAGTTGGATGTCATCGGTGTGGCAGTGAAATTGAAGGTTGTGGCGACGAATGATTTTGCCAAGGGGGAGCATGTAAAGGATGATGAGGAGGGGGCCAAGCACCGAACCCTGGGGGACGCTTTGGGACAGAGGAGCAGTGGAGGAGGTGCAGTTATTGATGTTGATAAACTGATGTCTGTCGGTGAGGTAGGATTTCAGCCAGGAGAGTGCAGTGTCGGTGATGTTGAGTGATGATTCGAGGAGGGACAGCAGGATGGTGTGGTTGATGGTGTCGAATGCTGCGGTGAGGTCGAGGAGGATGAGGAAGTTCAGGTTGCCGGAGTCAGGGGAGAGGAGGAGGTCGTTTGTGATTTTGAGAAGAGCTGTTTCGGTGCTGTGTTTTGATTGGAGACCGGATTGAAATGGCTCAAAGAGGTCATTGGAGCTGAGGTGGGATTTGAGTTGTGAGGCAATGACACGTTCAAGTATTTTTGACAGAAAGGGGAGATTTGAGATGGGCCGGAAGTTGGACACAATGTCAGGTTTGAGTCCAGGGGCCTCATTTATAACGCCTTGCGTAGGAATGACGTGGGAAGGTTGTTTACGTAGTACAAAGCAAAAAAATAGGTACAGAAATGTTCCGACATTTTCCGATTCACAAAACATTGCGTACCGGCGAGGGAAGTGCGTACGGCACTTCCTACGCCTGTTTCCCTTTTATAAATCACAATCGACTCGTAACGCCCATATTTGCCTATAAATAGTCAAAGAAACACCCATTCATTCATTCATTTTGACTGACTGCATGAAGAAGATCGCAGGAAATGACGACAGAACAGCTAAAAAAGACATCTCACACCGTGTCAGATTTTGGTTATTTTGGGGAGGTCGAGATAAATCATATTGTTTGGTGGATGCAGTTTGAACCAGAGTAGCAGCATGGAGGTCGGATCGTCACCAAAATAAATAAATAAGTGGTCCGAAAAAAGTTACTGACAAAAAAAATACACATAACCTTCCTTAGGCAGTGTGTTTGTACCGGGGACAGGAGACACCCCCTTGATGAGAAACTGTAAGAAATGATCGGGGAATCCCTCCGGAGTGGAGTCATGACGACTGGATCTGAATTATTTTGTTGTATTTGGTGGTTTGTGTTCCAGCTGTCGATCAGCAACTATATATCCATAATCCACCAGTTAAAGGAAATACAACTAATGTGTTGTGTTATATTAGCTGTACAATTTACCACATATGGTGTTCTTAGTTTCCATACCTCCTGTGTTTTACGAGCGACTTATCAAGTCTTGGCAAAGGGCATAAAACACGATTAAACGTGATAGTATATAAAACCATGCTCGTATCTACAACCTATAGAAATGCAAAACGGCGTCAGTTTGGACGTAATTCTGTCCTCCTGCTTACCGCATCATTTATGAGAAAACATTTCATAACATTAACACAACATATTCGAGGTGGTTTTAAATAACATATCCGTATTTATTTATTTATCCAAGTTATGTTTTTGTGTGCACTGAGGAGTCTCAAACAGGCGTTTGTTTAATCATTTTAAGATTGGCTTTAATCAATGTTTGAAAATGAATTCTTCATATTTGATAAATGAGAGGTAACATTTTATTTATTTATGGTATTATTTCCACATATTTCTCTCCATTCTTCCTTCTGCCAACGGTGTCGCAGTTTCTCGTCTCCCCCGTTTGTGTGCTTAGTGCATGGTTTAGAGTTTGCGTGGAGGACCGCACATTTTCCCGTCAAGTTAGAATTTTATGAATCGCAAACATTTTTTGAGCGTATATCCCTCTATAAATCAGGCCCCAGGTCTTTTGAGAATGGGTTTGAGAGAGGGGGGAACTGATCCAGATCTGAGGGAGGAGTTCATGATGGCGATGAATTGGAAGATGGCCGGTCTCTTTAACACATTTGGAGGGCATTGGGTCAAGTGTGCAGGTGGAGTTAATTCCAGTCATGAAGTCGGACAGTTGCATGGGGGTCACAGGGGAGAAGTGGGACAGGGGCTGTGAGGTGAAGGGGGGGGGGGAGCCAGGAGAGGAGGTGGGGGGTGCTGATGAGGGTGTCAGATTGCTGTAAATGTTGCTGATTTTGGTTTGGAGAAATGAGAGGAAGGAGTTGCACTGTTCGGTGGTGAAGGATGAGGTGGCGTTGTCACAGGGTTTGAGAAGTTTGCTGATGGTGGAGAACAGACGCTTGGGGTTGCTGGAGCCAGACTGAATGAGTTGTGATATACATACATACACATGAATTATAACATTTCATTTTACAAATAGGGCAGAGAGGTGCTGCAGCACAGGCAGTATGAGAAAAATAAAGAGCTTTTTGAACATTAAAGAAGAATAGAATCCTTTATTGTCATTATACAGGTACAATGAGATGAGTAGAGCTACTCCTTTTTTTAAGGTGCCATCAAAAATACAAAAAGCAACAAGAGACGTACACACTCAGGAGAAGACAACATACAAACAACAAGCATTCATACAGCATGGAGACATGTCCCAGTAGAGACACTAAATACTGAAATGAACATTAAATGTCCTCTTAAAGTACAAGTTTCTTTGTGACACACTTCCAACATATTAAAATTAATTTACCAATACACTCTAAAACTGTCATTAACCTAAAACTTTTTTTCTTTTTAAACACATAAAGATTCAAGAATGTAATGTCACAACATGGAAACATATAGAGAAACATGTAGAGGCACACGATACTAATACGAAACTTAAAATGAGCATCACAACTTGCAAGTCCACTTCATCCAGTTGCAGCAAAATGTAAATCTTCTAAATCTGCACCTGAAATAGAGACCACACATGTAAGTACATTATGAAGCAGACCTTAATAAAGTCATAGGAACTGAGAACATGACAAAGAATAAGATGCACACAAGTACAACAGTTACAGCATGGACTGTTCCCGCTGCTACAAACGGCTGATATTAAGACGCTTCAATGCGCAGGTCACAGAAGTAGATGCATTGTGGGACATGTGGTTTATGGGCACCATATTTTGATGAAATAAACTAAATATATTCCTTTCTTTTCTATAAAATATTTTCTAAAACAGCAGAAATACAAATTTGTTTCCCCCATTTCAAGAGTAAAAAATAGCATTCATACACAATAGGTGGGACTAAGAAAGATAATATTAAAGTATAAAAACAAAGGCATTATTAGGGCTGAAAAATGTCTCCCGTTTTAATGGTGATTAGATTTTTAAATGCTAACACTTAACAGTTTTTTCTGACTGTGTGTTTCCTGTTTCCTGCAGATGTCCAGCAGCTGGTGGTGGTTAAAGAAGAGGTTCTCCCTGACCAGCAGGAGTGGAGCACCAGTCTGGACCAGGAGGACCCAGAGCCCCCCCCACACATTAAGCAGGAACAGGAGGAACTCAGGATCAATCAGGAGGGAGAGCCGCTTCAGGAGCTGGAGGAGGCTGATATCACCAAGTCCACTTTCACTCCTGACCCTGTGAAGAGTGAAGATGATGAAGATAAACCTCAGTCCTCACAGCCTCATCAAATACAAACTGAACACATGGAAACAGAAGCTGATGTAGATGACTGTCGAGGACCAGAACCAGCAAGGAACTCAGATCCAGAGAGCAGTTTACAACCAAAGACTGAGGACGACACTGAAGACTCTTCTGAACCTGACACTGAAGACAGTGCTGATTGGAAGGAGACCAGAGAACCTGCATCAGGCTCAAACTCACTGAAAAATAGACATGAATCTGTCAGTGATCCACGACGTAGTGTTGAAAAGAAACCATTCAGCTGCTCAGTCTGTAAGAAAGCTTTTTCACAGAGTGGACATTTAAAAAGACACATGAGAGTTCACACAGGAGAGAAACCCTTTAGCTGCTCAGTTTGTGAGAAAGCTTTTTCAGAGAGTGGAATTTTAAAAAAACACATGAGAGTCCACACAGGAATGAAACCACACAGCTGCTCAGTCTGTAAGAAAGCTTTTTCAGATAGTGGAGGTTTAAAAAAACACATGAGAGTCCACACAGGAGAGAAATCACACAGCTGCTCAGTCTGTAAGAAAGCTTTTTCAGAGAGTGGAAGTTTAAAAAAACACATGAGAGTCCACACAGGAGTGAAACCACACAGCTGCTCAGTCTGTAAGAAAGCTTTTTCAGATAGTGGAGGTTTAAAAAAACACATGAGAGTCCACACAGGAGAGAAACCACACAGCTGCTCAGTCTGTAAGAAAGCTTTTTCACAGAGTGAATATTTAAAAAAACACATGAGAGTCCACACAGGAGAGAAATCACACAGCTGCTCAGTCTGTAAGAAAGCTTTTTCACAGAATATAGATTTAAAGAGACACATGAGTGTCCACACAGGAGAGAAACCACACAACTGCTCAGTCTGTAAGAAAGCTTATTCACGGAGTGGAAGTTTAAAGAGACACATGAGAGTCCACACAGGAGAGAAATCACACAGCTGCTAAGTCTGTAAGAAAGCTTTTTCACGGAGTGGAAGTTTAAAGGCACACCTGAGAGTCCACACAGGAGAGGAAATATACAGCTGCAATGTTTGTGACAAAATATTTAAAAGGCGTAATTGTTTCAATAGACACAAGTGTGTTGGTCGTCAGTCCTCAAAGCCTCTTAAGCCCCACAGACCCGCCGAAGGGGCCGAAACCACAACATCTGCAAGCAACAGCGTCTGAGGGCTTCTTAAGATGTAATAAACTATGAATTTTTCATATCGATTTTTTTTCTTTTTAAACCTCAAAGCTAAAGCTCGTTGCTAAATTAGCAACGAGCGAAAAGATGCTAACGGCAGTTGCACAGAAACTCACTCATAACACCCTTATTACTTATCGTAGCTGCACATCCAACCCATCGATTAGCATCGTGAGGAGACACAGAATCAATAGGTACCTACATCATCACTCCATGATAAGAACTTGCGAACTTATTAACAAAAACAGACATCACAACATGTGGCGCTAGTTAGCAAACACGACAATATCTCTTACCTTCATTCTTGTCTGATCAAAAGTTGTCTTCAATGTCATTAAAACGATAAAAACGCTGCTGAAGGTTATTCCATAGGTTAATCCAATGTGTCTGTGTCACTTTTAAATTATTTTTGATAATCCATAAGCAATAAACCTAGTTTCCCGTTTTCAGATGTCAGAGCGTGAGATAGGTTCACTCTGTGCAAAACTCCATGCGCAAAGCCCCCACCTTTTTTTTGGTAACTATTCTATTGGCTCTAACGGTTAAAAAGAGATGTCAATCACCAAAATCGACCAATGGGTTCCAGAGAAACGGCAAAATAAAAAACATTTCCACCCAAATCACCCCAGAGGTGGAGTTTGTTTTTGCTAAACCTCTCTAAAAAGGTCAAATGTCACTTGTTTTGCATCAATTTCTATACAGGGTACTTATTATATGTTGTACTTTGGATTCCTAAAGCTTTTAGTCTACTAACCCATCATCCAAAGGTAGTTTTCACTATAAGTAAAAAATAATCTTTGGACGGACACTATAATTTACAGTTTTTTACTATATTCAATCTGAATTTTCTTTAAAAAAAAAACATCTATATTCATTCTGACTTGTCTACATCCAACTCACAGGTTTATCATTGCTTTGAGAAAAAAGATTATTAATTTTCCCCTTTTAGAAGTGTAGTTATGGTCATTTGTTCTGGAAATGTCATTTTCGAGCCTGGGACCTGAAACACAGGCTTGGGGCCTAACTAATTAAATTCAAACCGAGGATAACTGAGAGGCAGAACCTCCAATCAGCAGCTCAGCTGAACACATGGAAACAGAAGCTGATGGAGATGACAATGAATAAGTCTTATGACAGTTCACACATGAGAAAATCTGCCTGACTGGATCAACATTGTTGCACAACATTCATATATAACTTAAATGAACTCTATCATTTTCAACATAAGTGAACAATATGTTTAATGTTTTTGTTATACTGATTTTCTGATTTATACGTTAACCACTGACCGTTGATGAACCATTTTATTGTGGATTAAGGGCTCTAAGTTTCCATATGCAGATATAGGATGATATGATGTATTGTTCTTTATATCTAAATGTTTTGTATCATTGCTATCCTCTTAATAAACCCTCTTTTACATAAATATACCTGTTATCTGATTGTTTTTGCTTCTGTAACTGTAAGGGAACACATTTGCCTATTTTGTATCCTGATGACCTAATGTAATACGTTAGAATATAATAGAATATCTTTATTGTCATCACACATCAGTGTAACGAAATTCAGTTGTCTTCTCTCACTGCAGTACATAAATAAGAACACATCCATAAAAGCAGTGATAAAGCAGAGATAGTAGCAATAATCAGGGTCATCACTTAAATGCACTTTACCAGAATGTTAAAATACATTTTTAAAGATTATTTAATAAAGAAAAGCTACAATATTTAAATATAAATAGTTACTAAACATATCTGTTTGATACTTAATAAATATACAAATAAATAACATAGGATATTTTTGGCTGCAGTCTTTGATGGGAGGTAGTGTGTTTGTATGTGTGCATGTTCAAAGTTATAGTGAGTTTTGTGGATGGACAGGGATGGGAGTGATGGAGGCCACAGCTCTGGGAAATAAGCTGTTCTTCAGTCTGTTGGTGCGTGATTTTATTGACCTGAACCGTCTGTAGGGCCATACCTATATAAAGTATATAAATATAGTTTTTTTTTCAAAATACCAAACAGATCCTGCATTTAAGCCATGCCTCATTTCGCTCCATTTGCTCTTTCCAGCACTGTTTTTGCAGGTGAGCTGCAGCTGACCACGCCCCCCTGCAGGAGAGGGGAGCGTGCTCTGAACAACTGAAACTCTGCCGCACGGTCCCCTCGTTCCTTGGAAGAAGCGGAGAGGTGGGTGTTTGTCATCTGCTGGTGGACTAACCGGAGATAATTACAGTGCTTGCCTCGACGGGGAGGGATTGCATTGAATTACAGCAGCAGGAGCAAACGCTTGCCTCGGGGAGGGAGAAAAAGAGCCACAGCGGAGAATAAACAGAAGGGCAACCATGGCAACCATGCGCGGGAAGTCTTCTTCGCTGCTTTTGTGGCAGACTACAGCGCCACTTACAGGCCTGGCATATGTACAACAGCGTCTCCAGCGCTTTCGAGTGGCAATGGCCATAGCGCCACCGACCTGACGTCAGTAACGTGTTCAAATCTGGATCAGTTTTTATCAGATCCATTGCAGCCCCTTTTTTAGAGATTTGGGTATGGAGGAAAATATTGAGGGTTGTGTTTTCTGACACTTGGTGAGTTCCCTGGAACACCGGGGACACATATTCATATATAAAAGACGTACAAAAGTGCATTTTGCATGATAGGTCCCCTTTTAGTAAAAGTACTTAAAAGTATTCTCAGAAACATGTACAGCACCTTCTTATGTAAAAGTAATGATACTGCAATAAAATGTTCCCTGTCAGTGTTTGATTTATGATGTTTCTTGATTATTGTCAGTGTCGCATTTTACTGCTGTACATGTTTAAGGTTGCACTTCTATAAATGATGATAGAAGAGGGAACCCAGCAATTTGAATACACCCAAAATGTAATTTTGTATTTCTTGTCTAAAGATGAAAAGATAAATACATACTATATACATATATTTAACAATGAATTAATCATTAAAAAATACATTTATAAATGGGGAACATTAAAAAACAAGAGAGATAAATAGTGGAACAACTGCAAAAGGAAACATTTATTATTTTATGAATTCAATATTTTCTACATTTATTTTTTATATTACTTTTTGGTCAATATAATTGCATGATAATTCATTTATTAATCCCTTATATGTAATGTATTCACTTGTGTTTAAATCAAAGAAATTATTTTTCAGCTTAAAAAAGAGTTGAAAGTGTTAATAAAATGAGAGCATTTTGGGCGGGCCTTAGACTGCTGCAGTGCTCACATGAACCAACACAGAACATAAGTGGGGGGGGACAGAAACATGGAGAAAGGTACCAAACTCTTACATGGACATTTGTAATCTGTTCCAGGCGTTGAGATTGACAAGACATATTTGAAATGCTACTCTGTAAAGGGAATAGGCCTACTACTGTTAAAATAACCTTATTTGTTTAAAATAAAAGTGCGCAAAAAACACATTTTGAATTCATTATTGAATTGTGTGCATAACAATGCAATTAATCGCAGAAAATCCTTTGATTAATCATGATTAAAATGTTTAATTGTTGCCCAGCAATAATAAATAGACTTAAGTGTTACCAAAGACTTTAACGTGTTACCAAAGAGTTTAAAGCAGGTGTGTCCAAACTTTTTTCACAGAGGGCCACATACAGAAAAATATACGAAGGGCTGGGCCACTCATAAAGGTGAGGTATATCGCCTCGTAAATTAAGTTAGAAGTTAGCAAAATGTAGCTAAATTAGGCTTGATACATTAATATGCATTAAGAAAAAAACAGCCTACATCACAGCTCTCTATCGGGTTTCATTTATCTTGTTGGCAGCTCATCCCTTAAAAACAGAAGTCTCAGAGTCATTATAATAACATAAAATATGAAGGGTCTATTTCAAGCTTGTTATGTAAATAAGTTATTAGGCTTTTTTTCATCAACTAAGATTTGTTAGAACATTTTATCAACATGAATTGACTGAATTTATTTAAAAAGTGAGCTTATTAACACATGAACACTAGTGTGTAATATGGTTGTACATATATATTTAAGAAGTACAATATGAGAAAAGCACACGTTTCATTTCTGGACCATATTTCATTATACATTTTTAATTAGCTGAGGGCCGTAGTTTGGACACCCCTGGTTTAAAGTGTTAATTAAGAGTCAAGGGAACAGACCTGCTCTGTGTATCCGAAGCTGAGGCTGTAAAACAGGGTCCAGTAGTTTCTGGAGTCTCTTGTTCTCCTCTTTTGAACGAGACAGCTCCTCCTCGTACTCTGCTATCGTTTTTTCAAACAGAGCAAATATCTCTTCAGTGAGTCGCTGCTTCTTCAACGACAGCAGCATTTGGATTTTACTCATGTTTACTAGATCACCTTTTCCTGCAAACTCCGTTAAACACACTGTTTCTTTCTCTCCATCAAACTCTCAATCTGACTAGTGTTGCCAACGTGTTTCCAGCTAGCATGCTAAGATAGCTCCTATAGTCCGAGGTAAACGCTCCAGAAAAAAGAGCACACAGTGCATTCGGAGCAGTGGCGGCTGGTGGAAAATATTTTAGGTGGGGCTGTGGAAATGGTGATCAAACAATACTAGGGGGGTCCGGGGGGATGCGCCCCCGGTAATTTCTTTTGAGAAAAGACCCCTTAAATTATGACTTCTGGTGATGTTAGAGGGGGCAGGGGAGGACAATTTGAGTCTTAAAAATATGAGAAGACTGATCAATACCTCCATAACTTCAGTGTGGTTAGCTATGAATCTTCCAAAACTTCCAAACACCTTGT